ACACTGTTGCCTGGGCTTGAACCTGTTCAGACATGACTAATGGATTCCAGAGAGCGGGATCAGTTAAAAATACCTCTATATTTGCTTGACAGACCAAGCGAGGTTATTTTAAACAAAAGAACACAGGATGCCTTTTTAAAAAAAAACACTTAATCAAAATCAGAATGAGACATGGAAACGCAAACCAGAGGACACTAGTGGAAACTATGTGGAAGTAAATTTAAAACCAAGAACAACTGGCACTTCTTTACGCAAAGGGTTGTGGGTGTCTGGAACAAGCCAAGAGGCCATGTTGTTGTGGCCCATACCCTTGGCCTATTTGAAGAAACAGGTGGATGAGACCCTTGGCTCAGTTAGCTACCAGATGGACTAATTGGACCAGTCCTCTCATTTGTAACTATCCAATGGTGGATTCATGGAGACTCCAGATCATGCTGAAGCTGCTGTAAATGATTAAACTGGCTAAAACAGACCTAAGATATGAGATTATAAAAATGAAATAGATCTTGTACGGTATGGGGACATTGTTTAAACAAGATTCACATACGTGAATACAGAAGCGATTAACAGAACGCTGACAAAATGCTACTTTAAGTCAATTTTTGGGTTGTATAAATCAGTTATTGTAAAAAAAAAAGTAAAGGTTTGTCCAGGAGGCAGCAATTTCCTAGATACAATTAAAAAATAAAACAAATGGCTTTGGTAAACGGACAAAGAACATAGATACCTGCCACACATCTCATGAAGCAAGTGGTTCTTGGAGAAATGCACTGGCATTCATTGGCAACTGTGGCTACTGAAGGTAAATTTTTAAATACATTTTCCATGGGTCCCCTTTCCAACTGTCCTGTTTGAATAATGTTCTGTGTGTCTCAAGCCAGCATGATGTACTGCATTCCGGGCAGACTTTCTGCTGGAAGAGATACAGAAGGATTCTTTGCTGTTGCAACACGATCTCCTTCGAGCGTGCTGCAACTTGCTGTGAACCAAAACACTTATCACGTTGCTTTCCATTCCAGTTCTAATGCCAGCATTTTTGTTTCTCAGTGGGGTGAAGGGCTGCTTAAAATCCCATTGCAGAATGTGAAGAATAAAGTGAGAGGCACTAACAATGCACATACGAGAAGTGGAGCCAATGGCATTTGATGTTTTTTAATGCCTCTCAGGACACTGTGTGTACATACAACATATATTTAAAGTAATAGATTTATAAAGCTTTGCCCTTTAATTATTACCTCTATTGAATCCCTTTGTAGAATCCGTTCAGTAAACAAAAAGGATTAAAATGTAATGTAACAGTTTCACCTGCTCACAGCAACACTGGCTCACAGTACTGTTATTTTTTTGTTTTGTCAGATGTGTAGCTTTAATACACTGTATTGCAGAAGCCAAAAGCATTTGTAAGACCCCAAATCTTTCTACACATCTCTCGGATTCACTTGCACTGCAAAATGGCTCACTTTGCACAACAGGATGCACAGCAGACATCAAACTCCTGCAAAGATTGCTTTCTAAAAACTGTGCAAGAGTGATGCATTTCATCTGCCATTCACTGAGCTTTGATTGGTGTGCAAACTGATCACCAGGAATGTTCTATAATAGGATACACCTGTAAGGCACGGATTTTGCATATGTGTTGTTGTATATTTCCTAAAATACACTAGTACTGAACAAAAGCTGGGTAACCTCTGACGTCTGAATAAAGACTTGCTCACTATTTATTACCTTTCATCCGGAATAATGAATACATACAAGTCTTCGGTTTTCTCTGGGCTGAACAAGCTGTGTTTTGGTAATATTCCAAAAATTATTTACAGGTGTCTCCTCTCCTACTGCAGTGTGACTTAGTAACTGAGGGCTCAGCATTTATGACTGTGTGCTCCTCAAAAGCCCAGTCCCTAGAGCAGTCTGTAGCCTTTTACCACACGCTTAAGAAATAAAGCTCTCACATGATCTTCCCCTTTTTAGCTCTCTTATCCGCAGGAACAGTGCACTGTCAGCCCTTTAAACATTGCAAAGTCAAGTCTGGACACGGACAGTTGAGCTTTGGGCTCAGCAGAAAGGCAAATGCAATGCACCAGCGATCAAAGAAGTGAAATATTTAAAGTCCCTGTTGAAGGTGGCACTTTGGCAAGTGTAGCTGACCATCTACCCAGCCTTTAATTGCACTACAGCAGGCAGAGATTTTGCTCTGTTACTCCATAGAATCAACATCTAACTTAAACAGTCAGCATCGGCCCTATTTTCAGCTCTGTGACCACCGATGACTTAAAGCTACCTCTTAAGGCTGTGCCTGTCCTGGACAGTTACTTTACACTCATCTAAAGGGGTTGTATTTTTTGTGATGCCTGTTTTTAACCTGCTCCATCTGATATACATAGCCTTGGAACACCCGCTGGCTTGTGGCGCTGAAGAACTGGACCCGGAGATGAGGACCCCTGCACTGGACAGACTCTCAACCAGTGGAATGTGACCAGCCAGCAGCTTATCCGGATGTGGAAATCGTATTAACTAATTGGTCCATTAAAAAACATAACATAAAAATAGCTGTGACTGATATATTTCCATTCAAAAGGTCATCTGAAGTGTTTTGAAGAAGAATTCTTCAAATTCAGCAGGTCAGCTTCCTTCAGTACCTCGTTAACAGCGGTCACCAGCTTGGAAGAGTAATGCCACAGGCGGTCGTCTCGAATTAAGTCCGTTCTCTTAATGTCATGCCTCACCGGTCTTCTGATGTGGTACATGCGGGCAATTTCATGCGGCACCCTTACACTATGGGACCCTAAATTTAGAAATCCGTGAACCGTGGCTTCATACACCATCCTGGGGTTCACGATAACTTTAAAAGCGTTGAACTCCGTTGGTATATTGGGTTCCCGGAAAACGTGCTCCAGCATGTTCACCCCAGGAACACCAGCCCATTCCCCGAGTTTGAACTTGCCGCTTTTCTCCTTGTAAACAGAAGGGAAAACGTGGTTCTCAAACTCGAAGCTGGCGTCCCTGCCATGCTGGAGTTCCAGCTGGTCCATCAGCTCTCTCCAGTTCTCCAGGTGCAAGGGCAGGATGATTTCATCCAGGTCGTGCAGAGCTATGTATTTCGTTTTGTACATGAAGCGGTAGACGCAGTCGTTCAGCGCTGCGATTTGCCCGTAATAGTGCAGGTCGCCTGGGTACTCGCGTGAGTTCCAGCCGTTGGACACGTTAATGTATGAGGTGATCGGCCAGGGAATAATATCTACGAAGTCCCTGCTGGTGTAGTACTGCAGTACCCTCTCCATCTCGGGGCCGCAGCTGGTTTTGTAGATGGCCACTTTATTGACTCCCAGCAGCCTGTACATCTCCAGGGCCTGCACAGCCTGCAGCACGTTGTTGAAGTCCTGGAACATGGCCGAGATGCAGACTGTGAACTCCAGGGGGAAGTCCGCACTCCTGGGCTCGGGGTTCCCTATCGGCATGAAGGGCGAGACCCCCTCCCCCGCGGGGCCGGCGTACACGGCCAGGTGGGTGGGAGCACGGCAGTCCTCCGGGACCGAGCAGAGGAGGTCCGCCGTACCGTAGACGAACCCGAAGTGGTCCGTGTGGATGTGGCAGTCCGCAGTGCTGGTGGAGCGCCTCTGCCCCTCGCAGCAGAAGAGGCAGTGGTGATCAGCGTCCTCCGATCGCAGCACTATAGAGACAATATGTATGCGCCCCCTGTCTCCATAGCGGTGCTCAAAATAGGGAGACACCACGTAGGTTTTTGTGCCTCGGACATTAATTAAGGGTTTTTTGTTCTCTGGAGCTCCACATATCTCTGTAGTTTTTGCCGAGGTTATATCTAGAGTAGGGGCCCGTGTGGTCTGATGCTCTGTGCCCTTTGTTTCTTTGCCTGCTTCGAGGACAGAATAGTATAGTGTCTTGAGAGAATCGTTTAAATTGACCAGAATTATGGAGAGGAAAGTGAAGACGCCTAAGGTGGTGATGATCAGGTACCTTTTCTTCATCCTGTGCCCCGCAGGTACTTGCTTACCAGAACCTACGTCGGCTATTTTAAGATGCGCCTTTGTCTGATCTGTAAAAGAAAAAGACAAGGAAAGGGCCAGAGCTGAGTCTCTCGCAACTAAAATGCTAGTTATGGGTATTTCTAGATTTCGTGGAGGTTGGCCTGTAGTTTTCCACCCCGCTGAAAAAAGGTTATGCGTCGTACATAAGATTTCAAAGGCATAAAACGTCCGGGATGATTTAGCAGTGTGGAAATGCAAGCACTATAACGTAAACGCGCTCATAAAATACAGTGCCATGCTGTAGACGCATAAATGAATATTTAAGATAC